GGGCTGGCGGGGGGGCGCAGGGCAGGGGCAGCACAGCCACCCCTTGCTCAGTTCCCCACGGCCTCTCCCCCTGCAGTGAGTTCCTCCGTGCCATCAACCAGTTTGCCATGACCTTGACCGAGATGTTCCTGAGAAATAGTGACTTTGAGCTGCAGGTGAGCGGGTTCTGCCTGTGCCCTGCAGGGCTGGGGAGGAGACCCAGCCTGTCCCCAGCTCCCTGAGCCCCCAGCCTGGCATTCATCCCCGTGTTTTCACTGCAGCTTTGGAACAACTATTTCCACCTGGCCGTGGCTTTCCTCACCCAGGACTCCCTGCAGCTGGAGAACTTCTCCCAGGCCAAGCGCAACAGCATCGTGACCAAGTGAGTTGCCCTCCTGGCCCTCCCTGCCCAGCAGCACCTTGGGGCTGAGCTCCACAGCTTGGCTTCAGGTTCCTGCTCCAGCCTGCTGCCATGCCATGGGATCAGGGATTTTGGGATCATAGAATCACAGAACTTTTCAGGTTAGAAAAGCCCCTCGGAATCACCGAGTCCAACCATCATCCCTACTCTACAAAGTTCTCCCCTAAACCATCTCCACCAACACCACATCCAAACCACCCTTCAACACCTCTAGGGATGGTGACTCAACCACCTCTCTGGGCAGCCTATTCCAGTGTCTGACCACTCTTTCTGTGAAAAAAATCCTTCCTAATATCCAGTCTGAACCTGCTCTGTTGCAGCTTGAAGCCCTTCCCTCTTGTTCTGTCACTAATTACCTGTGAGAAGAGACCAGCACCAACCTCTCTACAATGACCTTTCAGGTAGTGGTAGAGACTGATTATGTGTCCCCTCAGCCTCCTCTTCTTCAGACTAAACATTCCCAGCTCCTTCAAGGGTTCTTCATCAGATTGATTCTCTAGGCCCTTCACCAGATTCGTTGCCCTCCTCTGTCCTTGCTTCAGCACCTCGAGATCTCTCTGGAATTGAGGTTTCTAAGGTCCAGCCAAAGGTCCCTATTTAGCCAGGCTGGTCTCCTACTCCGCTTCCTGGTTTTTCGGCGCATGGGGACAGCCTGCTCCTGTGCCTTTAGGACTTCTTTCTTGAAGTATGTCCAGCCTTCCTGGACTCCTTTATCCTTCAAGGCAGCCTCCCAAGGGACTTTGTCAATCAGTCTTCTGAACAGGTCAAAGTCTCCCTCCAGAAAGTCTAAGGGGGCAGTTTTACTGACCCCTCTCCTTGTTTCTCCAAGGATCAAAAACAAAATCATCTCATGATCACTGTGCCCTACATGGCCTCCAACTTTTACTTGCCCCACAAGTTATTCCCTGTTCACCAGGGCACCCTCCCTGTTTGGCTCACTTACCAGCTGTGTGAGGAATTTCTCTTCCACACATTACAGGAACCTCTTGGAATGTTCCCTCTCTGCTGTGTTGTATTCCCAGCAGATGTCTGGGAGGTTAAAATCCCCCCCCCAAGAACCACAGCAAGTGACTGGGAGGTTTCTCCCAACTGCTTGTAGAAAGCTTCACCCACCTCACTGTTTGGTTGGGAGGTCTATAGGAGACTCCCACAGCAACACCAGCTTTATTGGCCCTTAACCTCATCCAAATACTCTCAACCTCATCATGACTACAATTGATTTCCAAGCTCTCGTAGCATTCTCTAACAGATGGGGTCACTTCTCTTTCTGTCCCTCCTGAGGAGCCATCGATTGTGGCACTCCAGTTGTGTGATGCATCCTACCATGTTTCTGTGACAGCCACTATGTCATAGTTTCCCTGGTGTATCATGGCTTCAAGCTCCCCCTGTTTGTTGCTCATACTGGGTGCATTGGTATTGATGCACTTCAGATGAGCTAATGATTCTAACACCTTTTTTCCACTGTGGGCTCCATTTCCTACCAGACCCTTCTCAGGTGCTTCCATGATTTCTAAACATCTCTCCTTTCTCTCAAATGAAACAAGAGTGATGAACCAGTGTGGCTGTGCTTGGTGCCTTGGACTGGATGCTGAGCTCTGTCTGCAGAGCAATGCTGACCAACACCTGTCCCAGCAGGTATGGGGACATGAGAGCCGTGATCGGAGCTTCCATTCGGGACATGTGGTACAACCTGGGTGAGTTGCAGTGTGGCCAGCAGTGAGGACTTGGTGAGTCTCTGCAGACTGGTGTTCATCAGCTGGGGAGGGAGGTGTTGCTGATGTGGAGCATGGGAGCCTGCAGGGCTGAGCAGGGAATATGAGCCTGTAGGATGTGCAATCTGTGGGATGCTCTGGGATGTGCAATCCATGAGATTTGTAAGCCCATGGGATGTGCACACCTGGAGGTATGCAAGGTGCTGGGCTGTGCTACTGGGAGCATCCCAGGGCCAGCCAGGCAGGGAGGATCGAAAACTTTGGTTCTGTGCCCCCCACCCTGCTCCAGCAGAGAGCAGGAAGCTGTATGGGTAGTTCCCATGCACCAGGGCCTCCAGGACACCAGCGCAGCCCCAGCTGTGGTCCCACAGCCAAGTGTTTCCATGCTGCCCTGGCCACATGGCATCACCTGCCCACCAGCGTGGCTGCCCTGAGCACCTGGTGGTGCCGTGGTCTATTCCCAGCACCACTCCTGCTCCTTTTCCATGTGTTGCTGCCTGTTTGCAGCCCCCAGGCTGCAGTATCCCAGTCTCTAGCCTCCCCTGCCCTCCCCAGGCCACCGCAAGATCGAGTTCATCCCAGGCATGGTGGGCCCCATCCTGGAGATGACGCTGGTGCCAGAGCTGGAGCTGCGCAGATCCACCATCCCCATCTTCTTCGACATGATGCTGTGCGAGTACCAACAGACCAGGAGCTTCAGCCGGGTGAGTGCCCAGGGCTGCAGCTCCTCAGCTGGGATGGAGCATCCCTGCCGGGGTGGGTGGAGGTGATGCTCATCCTCCCCTCTCATCCTGGGTTGTGGGGCTGCAGGAGGGAGGGACAAGGGACAGGGCCAGACACCTGGCAGGACATGAGGAGCAGGGGCAGCTAGGTGACAGAGGGTTTCCCAGGGAGGAGCAGGAAGAAGGTCATGTTGGTCACTTCCTCAGCTGATCCTGGCACTGCTGGAAACAAGAGCACATTGGGAGAGGGTGGCTGCATAAGCCTCTGCATTCCCACTGCTCTTCCCTGTGGCTGTGAGGTTTCTGCATGCAAAAGCCTTTTCCAACTTATGATGAGGTGGCATTAGTCTTTTTCAAGCTGGAAACCTTCCACTCTGTTGGGGTGTCCCATGGGAGGAGAAGAGCTGGGACTGCCCTTGGAGCCTGGGTGACATGGATCCTGCTGGTCCCCTGCCCCAGCCCCTTGCTTACACCTGGGTCTGCCCCACAGGGGAGCTGCCCTGGAGGAGCCATGTGGCCACCTGAGCTCTTCGCAGGGGACGTCCCCGAGCCATTCTGCTGTGACACAGGGGCTCTGTGGCTCAGGAGCCAACCAGCACAGTGCCTCTGGCCCAGGGGTTTAAGGTTCCCTGAGTTTGGGATGAGCAGACCCCAGAGGGACTCAGCATGGAGGCAAGGGATACCCAGGGGTACCAGCAATTAGGTATCTGCTCCAGATGCCCCCATCCTGTGCAGGTGCAGAGTCTCCCTGGCTCTTAGGTCCACTGGCTGCTGCCGGAGCACAGATCCCATGGACATGTGGGCTGAGCATCACCAGGGAGGTGGGGGACCCTGGGCAGACAGAGCCCTGGCTGGGCCCAGACTGCTGGGGACCAGCAATGAGGCCAGCACAGAAGCAGGGCAGGGACCTGGGGAGCAGGTCAGGGACAGAGAGCAGGATGGGGCCCTGTGGGTGCTGGGATGGTGTGGGGTTTTGTCCCCAGCAGGGAGCAGGAAT